CATCGACGAGCGGACTCACAAGAAGGGCGACCATCCGCCCCGCGGCAGTCTCTCTTGGTCTTTTGTCTGAGGGTCAAAGTCAGAAACCGGGGATTGCTTGGGCAACATGAGGGGCTGGCGTGAATAGATCCGGGGTCATTATTTTGACCGTTGCTAAGGGTTGTCAAAGTCAGAAACAGGAATCGGTGGTTTCCCTTTCACCCGAGGGTGACTTTGAGAATGGTAAAATAATGAGGCCAGTTTTGTGAGTCTGAGGTTTAACTGGGAACCCTTTCGTGATTTGGTGGACATCATGTAAGGTGGGGATTCATGTCCACCAACCACTTTTGAGGTGGTCCGCTGTGAAAATTCGCAGCCACGGCATCCTTGCCCGAATCGGATGAGCCGAGACCGTGCGGCAAGCCCCTATAAATAGTGAGGGTATGGTGCTTTGAGGGTGCCCGTTTTCTTTCTTTTCTTTTTCCCGAAAGCATCGCGAAGGGTTCTTCCGTGCGGAGCCCTTGGACAAGTTACATAGAACCAAGTTACATAGAGCCAAGTTACATAGAGCCAAGTTACATAGAGCCAAGTTACATAGAGCCAAGTTGCATAGAGCCAAGTGGCACAGAGCCAAGTGACACAGAGCCAGGTGGCACAGAGCCAAGGTTGGGTAGAGCTTGCGTAGAGCTTCGGCGTTAGCAGCTATGTAAGATAGTTTAGGTTTCTAAGGGGCCGGGGCGGGAGTTTGATCGTCGCTCGGGATTGCGACCCTCTGCGGAGATTCGCGTGGTCGAGGTCAAAAAACTGAGGACTTTTTTCGATTTCTGCCGTGCGCGCGCGACCCTCTGCGGAGATTCGCGTGGTCGAGGTTCAAGAACTGAGGACTTTTTACGATTTTTAGCATGCGCGCGCGACCCTCTGCGGAGATTCGCGTGGTCGAGGTTAAAAAACACTGAGGACTTTTTACGATTTCTGCGGTGCGCGCGCGACCCTCTGCGGAGATTCGCGTGGTCGAGGTTCAAAAACTGGGGACTTTTTACGATTTCTGCGGTGCGCGCGCGACCCTCTGAAAACTGGGGACTTTTTACGATTTCTGCGGTGCGTGCGCGACCCTCTGCGGAGATTCGCGTGGTCGAGGTTCAAAAACTGAGGACGTTTTACGATTTCTGCGGTGCGCGCGCGACCCTCTGCGGGGATCGTGCGTGTCGAAGCGCTCTCGCTGTGGCGCCGTGCAATTTTCTTGCTCGCGAAACGGCCTTTGGAAGTTGTCTCGTGGTTTGCGCGCCTGCTTTCGCAATCCCGCGGTCGCGGGTTCGATTCCCCCCTGGTCCGCGGCAGCTCCGGCTTGAAAATCGCAGCTTTTAAGTACAAACGTAGTACGCGGAGCGTGCTCCTGCAGCTCCGGCTGGAAAATCGCAATTTTTAAGTACAGACGTAGTATGCGGAGCGTGCTCCCGCAGCTCAGGCTGGAAAATCGCAACTTTTAAGTGCAAACGTAGTACGCGGAGCACACCCCCGCAGCTCTGGCTGGAGTATCGCAACTTTTAAGTACAAACGTAGTACGCGGAGCACACCCCCGCAGCTCCGGCAGCACTTGCGCAGAGCAACTTGCGCAGAGTCACTTGCGCAGAGCAACTTGCGCAGAGCAACTTGCACAGAGCAATTGCACAAAGCACTTGCGCAGAGCAACTTGCACAGACCAACTTGCACAGAGCACATGCGCAAAGCGCTTGCACGGAGCAACTGGCGCAGAGCCCTTGCGCAGAGCAACTTGCTCAGAGCACTTGCGCAGAGCAACTTGCACAGAGCAGGCGCAGAGCAACTTGCACAGACCAACTTGCGCAGAGCACATGCGCAAAGCGCTTTGCTCAGAGCACTTGCGCAGAGCAACTTGCACAGAGCACTTGCGCGCAGCAGCTTGCAGAGAGCAACTTGCGCGCAGCAGCCTGGAACAATGCAGCTTGCGCAGACCACTTTCGTGAGAAATCGCGCGGCGCAGTTCGAGAGGAAAGTAGGATGATGAGATGGAGCTCTCACGTGACCATACACACTGAGCATCGCCGCGCGCAGACACGCTCGCCGCAGCGATGTAAAAAGGTGTCTCCGCAGCTGGATGAGCACCTGTGGAAAAATGCTTTCGGGCCAATCGTCCTCTAGTTTTTTTTTTGGGGGGGTTAAAGAGAGGCCGAAAAGAAGCCAACCATTTTCGGGGTCCCGAAAAAAAAGAGGCACCCATTTGTGCCATCTAATCCTGTCCCAACCCAGGCGCCCTCCTTGCTTCCTGGCGGAGGGTCTTACTGTGGACGTGCACGGCACGGTGCTGGGCGTATCACAGGCCGAGTGCTTGGGGGTTGATTGCCACCGGTTGAAGTGAGCTGTTGGCTCTCGCAGGATGCGATGCACCTCTTGTCCTTGCGTGTTTGCGAGTTTTGTGATCTCTGTGGGAAATGGAACCCACTTCCTCCCAAAGACTGACCCCCGACAAGAGGGGATTCGCTTGTATCACAGAAGTGGGGAGAAAACCCTTGATCCCATAACGTTGTGACGGAGTATCTCTGCATCAAACCGAGCTCCACTCTTTTTACCTGGACCACTCAAGGCGGGCTTTGGGTTGCCAAGGCCATGGACGTCTTCCGCGGCATGCTGGTGGTCTTGTATACCTCAGCGCAGGCCCAACGATTGGGACGAACCCACGGATCAGAGTAAGACTGACGCGGATGGTGGTTTTCCATGCAAGAGCGATTGCACAGAGCCCAGGACTCACCAGGAATGAGCCAGCTCTTGCTACATCCAATTAAGGGGAAGTATATCGAACACCCGGGTTCGACATGGATTTAGAGAAAGAGGGGGGTTCTGCAGAAAATGGGGGGGTCAAACCCCTATATCGAACGTCATCTCTTCGGGCTTGCAACCCGTTTCTGTCAATGTCAGCTTCCGCTCGCAAAAGTCAGGTCATCCACACCGCCAGCGAGCACCGATTCGGCGCAAGCCTAGTGCTGTGCAATGTGCCGCGACTCAAGAGATGAAGCCCGGAAGAAGGGTGGGGCTGCGACGGGCAGAAGCAAATGCCGGTGCTATGCTTGAGGGTTCCACGGAATATGACGCTCCACACGGAAAGCATGTCGGAAATGGCTTCTGAATGCATGTTTTTTGTTTGTTTGTTTGTTTGTTTGTTTGTTTGTTTGCGTCTTGGACATCTGAGGCAGCCTTCCAATGCTACCCAGGCATCATGCTTGCCTGTGGCTATTCCAGCAACTCATTTGCACGGAGATGCGCGACGGATCGGTTTTCCCGGGCCATCCGCTGTGTGCCAGTGTACGTGGCCAAATCAGTTTGTGCAATGCCCTACCCCCCAAAAACAAGACATATGATAAATTTTGTTTGTGTGTTGTATTTTTGTCGTGGTCCAAGATGTTGATGGGGGGTCGGGGGGGGTTGTTGCTAGAGTTTTTGTTGTTTTTGTGGGCCTCCAGTGGTTGAAGAGCAACTAGTGCAATGCTAGGGATGTTGCAAGGAAAACTGGAAGCACATTGGATTCCGGCCGAATTCTGAGCTGCAGACATTTGAGCCCACGAACAGTGCGCTGCAACGACAAGGCGTGTGCCGCTACATTGACCTAGGCCCTACCGCGACAAAGCCGCGAGTTCCACACGCGGTGTGGCCCTCAAACCTGAAATGGAGCAAATGAGCGCAAAAATCACAACAACAACCAACAAAATCAAAAAAAAACAAACAAACTGCAAAACGACACCACATTTGGCTCTTGAACATATGCCCCCACTTCAATTTACGTTTTTCGTCCGATGTCACGCAGATCCTGCGGGGGCATTTCCAGATCCAGCTTGTCGCGGCTCTTTCTGTTTGTGTCAGGGTTGTTTGTAGGGATCACCGGACCTGACCACAACTTCAAGATCTGGTTTCCTCCCAAGGCCTCAAGGCTTAAAATGCCCGGAGGGCTTGATTTGGACTCGTCCTCCCTTCCCTCCCACCAAAGGGGGGGGGGGCACATTCCAGTCATTCCACTGGCCGGCTCTCTTTTGAGGCTCTCTATCCTCCCATGGCCCCCTTGAGAGCGAGACTTCCCCCCCCCCCCCGCCCGTAGAAAGCGGAGTCGTCGTAGGCTACGAGAAGTTTCTGCGCGAGTGGCCGGATCCTGGCACCTACAGCGCTTGGGACTTGCCGCTTTGTCTGCAAAATTAAGCTCACACTTTGCTTTCATTTGCTGAAATTTGATTTTTTCTTTTTCCCCAGATGGCTGAAAGCTATAGGGGTTCTAACTTCTAATAAAGAAGGGAAAGTGATTTGCGAGATTGAGGGCCGGGTGCCGGGGGGCATGCAGTTTGGGGTGCTGGTGGAGGTGCTGTTTTTGCAAGCTTGACGGCCGGGTGCTAGGGGGCATGCAGTTTGCAGTACTGGTGGAGGTGCTGCTTTGCGAGATTGACGGCCGGGTGCCAGGGGGCATGCAGTTTGGGGAGTTGGTGGAGGTGCTGTTTTGCGAGATTGACGGCCAAGTGCTAGGGGGCATGTAGTTTGGAGTGCTGGTGGAGGTGCTGTTTGCGAGATTGACGGCGGGTTGCTAATAAGCATGCAGCTTCGGGCGCTGGTGGAGGTGCCGCTTTGCGAGATAGGGGGGCATGTAGGTGCTGTTTTGCGAGATTGACGGCCGGGCGTTAGGGGTCATGCAGTTTCGGGTGCTGGTGGAGGTGGCGCTTTGCGAGATAGGGGGCATGTAGTTTGGAGTGCTGGCGGAGGTGCTGTTTTGCGAGATTGACGGCCGGGTGCTAGGGGGCATGCAGTTTCGGGTGCTGGTGGAGGTGCCGCTTTGCGAGATAGGGGGCATGTAGTTTGGAGTGTTGGTGGAGGTGCTGTTTTGCGAGATTGACGGGCCAGGTGCTGTTTCGGGTGCTGGTGGAGGTGCCGCTTTGCAAAACTGACGGCCGGGCTAGGGGGCGTACAGTGTGGGGTGGCGGTGCAGGTGCTGTTTGGTGTTGCTGTTGGAGGTGCTGCTGACCGCGTGGCCTTATTTCCCGGATAACTGGAAACCATAGACTTCTACTGAGTGCTGTTCAGTTCAGGTGCTGGTGACAGTACGTGACGGCAGGGTGTTCGGGGACGTGTCCGGTGCTGGCGCGGGTGCTGCGTTGGGGTGCTGTTGGGGCTGCTGTTTTCCGGTGTTAATGATGGTGCGAGCGCATATGGATGGCAGGGTGCTAGGGCGGGTGCTGTTTGGGGTATCGTGGTGGTCGCAGCATCATGATGCTGGCCGCAGTATCATGATGCTGTCAGCAGCACCATGATGATCTTGAACCGATTCGGACGTTGTGGCTGCTCTAACTCTCGAGCGTAATGATGGTTCGTGGCTTGTGTATCATCATGTGTTGTCAACCAAGTTATGATGCTGCTGCAATCGCTGCGGTGCCGCGTTATGGTTCGCGGGTGTGGTCAACATCAGGGTGGTGCTGAATTTCATTACACTGTCGCAAGATGATTTGTGGCTGTGGTGTCATCAGAAGGCTGCCTTTGCCATCACCATGATGCTGTGAACATCACCATGATGCTGTCCGCGTCATCATGATGCTGTTTAGCTCATCATGACGTCGTCTCTGCCTTTTTTCTGCTAGATATGTAGCGCGGCATCGTTCGTGGCTGGTGTATCAGCATCACCCTGTCAACATCATCGTTTTGCTGATGGACTCACTAGGACGTTGTCTGCACGTCTATGTAGCGCACTATGCTGAACAGCTGTGCTATTTTCCATGTTGCTGTCAACATCGTCAAGATGCTGTCAACATTATCATCATGCCGCGGGAACCATTATGATGCTGCGTCAGGGCTCGTAGCCGTGGTGTGCTATCTGGGGTCTATGCTGGTGTAATTTTTTAGTTAAGGGAATCGATTTCACTACTGGCCATAGTTTCCTCATTTCTTTGCGGGGAGTTAAGCAAATGGAGGTCTTGCTGCTGCGATAGGCAGGAAATGACAACGAGCCAGCGAACGAAGGAAACCATAGTTTTTTCTGTCGGGTCATTCCAACTCCTTCCCTGCTGAGAACCATCAAGTTATTTTCTAATCTTGTCAAGTTGGACATATGCACACCGACGTGCAGACGAATTTGGGAAGCCCGAGTGCTCGGGTGCTTCGCTGCTTTCTGCTTTGCCTTTCCAAAACATGCAACAGGAGCAGCACCATCCTGCTCCCACTGGTTTCGGCCGCTTGGCCGCCGTAGCCGATGGGATCGGTCAGCGATCAGATTTCGCGGCTCCAACATCCTGGGCTGACGGGACCATTCCGCAATCAAAGCATGAGGCAAAATCGGCGCCGACTCAAACATTGCACATTTTGGGTGTGGGGGCACACTCGCCCATAGGTGCGATCTTTCCAAGCGGGGCGTGATATGGTTCTCAACTTGCTGGTGCTCAGTAGAAAAATGAGGGAATGACCCCTATAAACCATCCCTTGCGACTTCCTTTAAGAAATCCCAGGGTTCATTCTGACATTCCCCACTTATTGCACCAGCAAGGTAAAGCCGTGCTCTTTTTTCGACGTGATAATGTTGACCCCACATCAATCAACCCTGTTTATTAATACGGGGGTGGGGGCCCTCCAAAAGTGGTCTGATTCCAACCACTAAACCCAGGGAACAGCACCCCCCAATATGTAATGAGGGGTTTATTCATATTAGGGATCATCATTGTGATGTATATCCCATTAACCCCCCTGAAAAATAGTGGTTTGCGGGGTAGTGGACACCATCTGAATGAGTGAGTTTTTTTTGTTTTTTTTGTTTTTTGTTTTTTAAACCCGCGTTTTGTTTTTCTTCTCCCCCTTCTTTTGAGTCTTCCGTATGTTTTTGTTTTTTTTAGCCGCTTCTTGCGAATCTTCCCGAAGGCTTGGATTTGCAGCTTCGCCTTCTGCTTCCTGAAGCCGGGGGCGAACATCGAGGATCCTGGCGAGGCGCTGAAACAGGTTGCCCGGCGGCCCTCGTCGACTCGGCCGGGAGGCGGCTCTCGGAATGAGTCCATTCAGATCGCTTGGGCAACAGAGGCGCGAAGAGATCTGGGGTCATTATGTTGACGGTTTCTGGGGGTTATCAAAGGCAGAAAATGGGGTTGTTTCCCTACGCACGGGGTGACTTTGATCATGGTAAAATAATACTGAGGTGCATCGATTCCAATGGGAATGCGAAATGCGAAAGCACAAAGCAAAAGATCGAATCGTCCCAGGTCCAGGTCTCGGTCTTTCTGAGAGTTTTTGTTGCTATGGTCAGATAGGTAGATGGCCAGTTGATACACTGGAGCTTGGACTTTCGATGCTAAGCATCCCACAGACTCAACATGTGGGGTCCTGTCCTCAACATCATCCTGCAATTGTGAGGATTGCACTGGGGCATGCGATGGTTTGCGTTAAGTGTTGAAGATTCTCCTTGCACTGGATACATCAGAAAGGTCCAAGACCAAGCAGCCACGTTCCTCATACCTCTGCAATCCCTGCAATGTGTACAATGACTGCGCCGCGTCAAGCTCTGCGAGTCGTTGCAAGACAGGAACTAGTTTGAAGATGAAGGCCTTCGTTGTCTGCAGATTTCCAGCTGGCAAGCTGCCCCTCTCAGTGTGTCATGTAGAGGAAATATCGCTCCAGTAGCAACCCTTGGCCTCTCACTGCGCCAGTCAAATGTGCTCAACGGATAGACGCATGAGACCCAGCGCTGGCCAATCGAGGTTTTGCTGTTCGGGGGAAGCCGCGCAGAAGGACAGGGGTTGCAGTGCTCGCAGCAGTACTTGTGCGTTTTCCAGACTTGCAGATGCGCTGCAGTGTCCTTCTTGAGTCATCATCGCAGAGATGGTTGCGTTTTTTTTCATGTCACCCTTAAGAGAAGTTAGCTTCAGCATGCACTAGGACAGTAAACCCCGCATCCGTTGAGGCACTGAGATCCTTCTCGCTTGCAGCATCAACTTCAGCATCGTGTTCATTGCCTGGCGGCCAGTCAGCCGGGTCCTGCAATCTGTGAAGGTAGCCCGGCTGCAAACCAGTTTCCGAACATGCTGGGCTCAGATGGTTGCCGAGTGAAGGTGGTTTTTTCTGGCTCTGAACAAATGATGCAATCTGTGAAGGTTTCCGAACATGCCGATGTTTTGTTTGATTTCATCATTTTATCACGGCTCAGATGGTTGCCGAGTGGGCCTAAGTTGCAAAGCATTGAGACGATTTCGGCCCCCACGCCATCGGTCCCGTCTCGGGCCAAGCGACGCATTGGTGGATGTCCCATTCTTGCCGCTGGCGCCAGCCCGGCCTGTTCCGTCAAAAAGGGCCTTTTCTTGCTGGTGCTCAGTAGGGAATGTGGGAATGAACCGGGTTATATAAAGGAAACCAGCAGTTGGACGAGGTTCCCTCAAAGGAAACCACCAGAAGGGTTTTCTCTCCGGGTCATTCACCAGCGAGTTTTGAGTCGGTGTGGCAAGGTGCGGGTTTGGCACGATTGCCTCGCCTTGGCACTGGCGCTCGGATCTCAGCATTGGAGCTGGGGGAAAGAAGTGGGTGAGCTTCAAGGACCGCAGAATGGGGGGTGTCCTTTTCTGAGGTTTCCCACTTTTTTTTGGCGTTTGAAAGAAAGGCAAGCGGATACCGAAGCCATTGTTTGGTGAGTCTCTAAAAAAAAGAGATACAGCAGAATATCGCTCTCGCGTTGCGACATGTTTTGTGAGCAAAAGGCAGAGAGGCGATCAAAGAGGCAAGCAAGCAAGCTAGCCAGTACCGAAGCCAGGGAGTCGGCAGGTACGTGGTCAATAGGAATGTTGGACAAGTGCCAAACTCCATGACGCGTGACTTTTGGAAGGCTTTCACCCCTTGCGCTGATGCTGTGCATGAAGACCCTGCTCTTCAGTGAAGAGGCCAGACCTTGTCAGTCAAGCTTTTTTGTGTGTTCCTTAAAGTGACAACAACGCTTGTGAAGCAGTCAAAGAAACCGGATGCTTGAACTTGCAACATTTCTACGCCGTTGCTCGCAAGGAGGGCGCTGGCATGGTGGTGACATTTCTGCTTGGCGCTTAGCTGGAGTGAGCAGTGAATGTTTTCAGTACTGCCTGCGAGCCGTTCACGTGCCAGAGTTGGAGACATATGGCTGTGGGTCAAAACCTGTACCCCTGGTGAACATCAAAATAGGTGGTACATGGGTGTTCATCCGCCCCAGAATGGAGGCATAGGTCATGACCCATAACCATATTGTGCCTTGTGTGGCATCATAATGAACAGGCCGCACCCCGCTATTGCGTGTTTACCTCTGCTGTATTCTGCTGCCAAGGCCTTATCTCCTTTTCTTTCATGCTGGTATTCTTCTGGCTGCATGTTGGGACAGGCGCGCGCCCACAGATCGTTTGTAGCTGTGTATAGATCATCAGGGCAGAGTGTTAACTGCTTGCCAAAGCAAAAAAACGCCAAGAGAAGGGCGAAGCAGAAAACACATGCAAGCCGGCCTAATACTACGAGGTCGGTGTCTGGAAAAGACGGTGCTTGCATTTTGGCGATTTCCGTCAAAGGGCCAAGGGGGACTTGCGAACGGCAGCACGCCACGCTTGAAGAAAAGTGAAGTTGACCCGGTGTGCTTGAGCTACTTTGGTCCGGAACTGGGCATAACCCGAACCTACCCAGAATTCAGTCAGAACAATAGTTATCAATACTTTTTGGCCAAGCCCAGGACGGCACATTTGCATGCTGCTTTTGCCTTCATGCTTTTTCTTATGGAGTGAATTGTAACATTCGGAGAATGGAAAGCACCAAACACTCACTTGAGTAAGGGACAATCCCAGCCATAAATAGCTGCGGATATCCGCCTTCTTAATTCTTGAAGCATGGTTCTGGGATTACGACCATGTTTAGTACCGGGTTTTGATCATGAGATCATGACTCACGCCAGTCCGCTGGCTCATCGGCCGCCAGATTCTTGTCTCAGCTTCAACCTGTCGGCTTCCAGACGGTGACGGACTCCATCCACTTGCCCGCGGCTCACGGTGCCCGTTTTCTTTTTTTCCATCCCACAAAAAGGGGGGGGGGGCGGCGGGGCATTTGTCAGAGCCCCTTCCTTCAACCACCAACAAAAAGGGGGTGTCCTCAAAAAGGAGACCCCAAAATGGGCAGTTTCCAAATGTCCCCATCAGCTGGCCAAACTAGTTCCATGGTATTTTTGTTGTCAAAGTCAGAAGTGGCAGTTGTTTTCCTTCTATCTGCCGGTTGGCTGACTTTGACAAGAGTATGGGTCAAAATTACCACCAGGAGACCGCAGGTTTTAGTCGTTGGTTCCATTTATACCAGGGTTCCAGTTTGGCTACCCATTTTTGACCCACAGCCATGGTAAAATGATTCGACCAGAAGAGTTTGCCTTTGGGCAGCAGCTCCCCTATCTCAAGAAGTGGGGCATGCCCCCGCCCCTTCCCCCCCCCCCCCAAATTGGTTGGTTTCTCGGTTTTGTTCTCACGAAAGCAACGAGATCATCCTTGTCCAGTGTTCAAAGGGGGGGGGGAGCACGTATGATTGCCCGCAGTTCATTTGCTTGCTTATCACATCCTCCGATCCTCAGGCCCTTGAACAGATTCAGTGCTCACCACTTGCCCAGGTTGCCCTGGGATGTATTCAAAAGCTGGCGGCGGCCTGAGGTGCTGTGTGCAGGTGAGTCACAATCAAAACCTGGGTAGGTGAAGGTTAGTAAAGGACGATCCCAGCCGAAAATAGCTGCGGATATCCGCCTTCTTAATTCTTTTCATGGTTCTGGGTTCACCATTTTAGTACCGGGTTTTGATTGTGGCTCAGGTCAAGTTTTGAATGTCATGGCTGTTTGCAGCCCTCCCGTTCGCCGCTGCGCGAACGCATGAGGCTGCTTTGCACCTCCATCGCATGGTGGACGAGCTTCGTTTTCTTCATGCCCTTGGGTCAGGCCGTCCGCAAGTACACATCTGCATTCAACAGATCGTTCAGCGCAACTCGCCCGGGATTGTGTTTCTGAGCCCGTCACTCACAACAGGCGCAAAGCTGTTTTGGATCCAGGGCCATTCTTACGGAAGATGTGCTCCAGCACGATGGAGACATGCGGGCGGTGTCATTTTTGAGCCACACCCTCCCACCTTTTCTTGGGTTGCTCAAAAAGCACCCAAAAAAGATTCCCAAAAAGCGCAAAAGGCACAGGTTGAGCCGCCCATAAGAAGCACAGCTTGCAGCTGGCGGGCGCGGGCAGGTGGCGCTGGTGCACGACCTGGCGGCCCTTCGGAGGCCTGGCGTTCAAGGCGGGGGGGTCTTCGTTTTGTTTCGGGTTCCCGGAGGACGGAGGATGTTTTCCTTCTGGTTTCTCCGTTTTTTTTTTGAATCCCCGGAGGAGTCGGTTTTTTGGGCAGTTGGGTTGCAAGTTCTATCATTTCGGGAGAGAAGGCGCCTCTTCCGTTTCCGGAAAACTCGGGGTGCCATGGCAACTCGGAGTCTCATGTTACGCAAGAATGTAACGACGGACAGCGATGCGAATTGGAGGGTTCTCTCGTGGAGACCGCGCAGCCTTTTTTAAGAAGTTGACAGCAAAAGCTGAAGGTCCGACTGTCATCCTCTCATGACTCGCATGTGGCTTGATTGCGGTTGCAATGATGTGCGGACAGAGTTTTGGCATGAATCTACTCCGTGGCCAGATAGCCACTTCATTTAAGCCATGTCCGTAAAACACAGGGAGCCCTTACAGCTCTGGAACTCCCATGAGATGAGTGAAGCAAAAGCGGCAGCCGACCGGATCGCGCGACGGCTGAGGCTTTTTGTCGCCGCTTTGGGTCATGGCCCTGCTATGGCCAGTGACCCAGCGAGCGAGCCATGGGCATCGACGGACGCCCGTACCGATGGTTGAAATGGACATGCGCAACTCTCGCACCGCCGCTCAGAAACCCAGCGGAATGAGTCGATTCCCCAACTCCCCAGCGTGAATACCAACCAGCGTTATGGCTTCAACCATGGTTTTATTTCGTGGCGCGAGAAGTGGATTTCGCAACCATCCACAGCGGGGCCACTTGGGGTCACCATGCAGAATGCTGGTTTTGACGAAACGCCGCAGCAAGTTTGTCTCACAAAAAAAAACCACGGCAGAATGCACTTGGCCCAGGCCTTTGGCCGTGAGCTTGGTGATGTGCGGCCTCATGGTGCCTTGGAGAAAGCAAGCACGAATTCAAAAGCTGACTTTCCGGAAGTTTACGGAGGTGACAGGAGAATCAGCTTCCTGTTTCAAATATTTGTCTTTTGCGTCTTCGTACCTTAGCATCAGGCATGTGCTCACTCAGGTGACAGCGAAGAAGTTCAACACGGTCTTGCGCCTGCTGCAATTGGAGTTGTGGCACGTGGGGAAGAACATGATGTACTACATGGTGGCAGGGGCTCCCAGATCTATGTGTTGTTGGGTGGCCCTTACAGCAACACTGAGGGTCGGGCAATCTCCAGGATTTTGACCTTCCCTCCGGGTCCCCTGTCATTTTTACTTCTATTTGCATCACTCCCGCAAGCGGCCGCCTTGAATTCGCTGGACTCCTGTCATGCAGAGTTTGTTGATTCATGCGGTGGAACCGACCGCCCCTCCGGCGCGAGCGGGGCGCGCGCGGCCTCAGGTTGTGAACATCTTTCTGGCATCCCAGCAGCGGAGCGATGGCCACAGGCGGCCAGTGCTGGTCGCACTCATTTGGGCGTGGCTAAGTTTTTTGGAATCGGAACCCCCCCAAAATGGGAGGGGGGGGGGTTGCCTTTTAGTTGTCCTTTAAGTTCACCCCAACACAGGGGTACCTTCCAAGAAACACACACACACACACCCATCGGAGCCAGCCATGCTGGATCTCGAAGCTTTTGACCCGAAGCTTTTGGACAAACCCAGAGGAGCTGAGAAAATGGGAAGTTGGCAGACACATTTCTACCGGGGGCGGCGCAAAATGGATGTTGCGAGTGTTCTATTTTGTGTCCCTATCAGCGTGTTAGGGTTTGGGCGCAACCATGACAGACTCAGGGCAAATCGTCTTAGGTCCTGTTTTCAGGCATTGTTTCGATGGACAGAGCGTCAACTTAGCAGAAAACATGCTTTTGGGCTGCAGGCAGCTTGTCTGCGATGTCCGCAGTTGTTCTGGTTGACATCTTGGGCTAGGTTCCCCAGTGGCGCCCTTTTACCCTTTTTTAGGGGAGGGTTCCCCCACTAAAATAGACTACAGAAAAAAGTTGGTACCCTTATACTAACCTCTCTACTGGAGAACCTAGTGGGGTAGGAGTCAGACATTTGCTTGGACGGAGCTTTGCTGGACCAGAAGCTGCGCTGAGCTCCGCTAGTCACGCAGGAACGCCAGCCTCGGCAAGTGCTTGCTGGGAGCTACCAGCATCCTCGCCGCCAGCAGGCCTGGCCTGAGCAAATTTTCAAACAGCGTCAGTTTGCAGTTTGCCTTGTATTGCCTTTTTGGAGAGAATACGGAAACCCCTGCAAATGTAGGCATCATTTTCAAGGGGTCCCAACTCTCCAAACAAAGGGCAGAAGGGGAACCCTGGAACTGTGTTCCTTCTTTGCTTGCAGTGCTGCGGTTTGCCAATGCTAGCCTCCACGAAGACACTCAGCACCCCTTAGGCCACGTTGTTTGGGCTCTTGGCGGCAGGTTCATCCACTTCATGGCAGGTCTCTCCAGACAGGCAGGGAGTATGGCCACCAGACGTTTCAGCTGATAGGGGCTGTATGCATAAAAAACGCACAAAAGACATTGACGAGTGCGTGCGTGCGTGCGTGTCTGTCTGTGTGTGTGCTCTGGGTCCGATTCAACATCCAGCAACAAGGGTTTTGCAATCTTGCGAGGCTGTTCAGATCTGATGTGCTCGGCATTTGGCACCGCGCCACAGAAAGTTCACGCCAAATCGGGCCCTGCGGAGGCACGAAGCTTTGAATTCAATGCGGCATCATGTACAAAGAATGCGAGACGCTCCGTGCCAGAGCGATGTGTGACAAAAGATGCTCACATGGGCGTGCCGTGTTTCGGTGGACCCCCCCCAAAAGGAAAATGGTTGCTTTCCTTTTTTGTTTTCCCTTTAAAGCCACCAAACAACGGCTACCTCAAAAGCAGACCCACATCTTTTTCGTGCGAAAGCGCGACCTTGCTTTGACAGTTTTTCAAAGAAGCCCTGCCGCAATGGACCCTTTTTCTGGGCATACCGCTTTGTGCTGGTGAATCCCAATTTGCAGCATGAAATGGGAAGGTACTGGAGGACGCAATGAAGAATGGCGGGATCTCGGTACAGCCCTGAGGTTTCGCAGACAGCAAGCTTCTGGCTTTGGAGTCTAAGGACCGGAATCCAATTATGATCTCAGGCGATAAGGGTGTCTTGCGGCCGAGATTTCTTTTTGTTGTTTCTTTTTTTTTCGGGGAGCCAGGCTATTCTTTCGGCTGCGTGCTGGCCCACCAGATGGCCTACCTGCTTTCCAAGGCAGGAGGACAACACAATAAGAGACCTTTGCGCTCGAATGAGACAGGCAAACATCGAGGTTCTTCTCATCATGTTTGACCTGGAGGCGCGGTCACTTCAGGTCTTCATCCAACATGGCGCCTGTGGAGAAGTACCCTTACCCTCCTGTCCAGGTTGGAACCCACCAGAGGGTCCCTTTACAAGGAAAATCGTCTTGAAGGACCCTAAAACGTCAGATTCCATGTTGGTGGATGGGAGAGTTGATCAATGTCCTCTTGAAGGGACCCCCTGCTAGGCGCCATATTTGTGGAAGGGAGTGTATCATGTTCAATTCATAGCCAACAAACCTTTGGATGCGGATGATTCGGCCGCATGTTTCTTTTTGTGGGGTCTTGCAAGAGCCGAAGAAAGAAAAGAAAGAAGTGTGACCACGGGATCCCAGTGGTTGACGTGTTCACCCACGTTTGCCTGTCCAGTCGCAGCGAGGTGGTCTGGCCACCTCCGCCCAACGGCGGTCGCGTCGGTGGTTACGATTTTCTTGGCGGCGAGGTGGAGGCAGGGCCCAAGTTCCGCCCCAGTGGCGACGTTTGAATCGGACCTCTCCCTCCTCAATCCGTTCGATGACATATCATCACTCCCAAATTTAGCTGGTTTAGAATCGGGTACCGGGTAGTATGGCTGGGCCAATTTCTTGGCTTTCCATGTGATTTAGTATTGCCGGAGCTTCCTTTCGAAATTAGATTTGAGGGATTTGAGTTCCATCTAGTATTGCTGGATTTGATTTTCCAGTTTGTTGTGCAGCCCTGCATCCAAATACAAGTCCTTGCCCTCCCTCTGTTGATTGAATCACGGGTCGCGTGATTGGCAAATTCTTTTGTTTCATTCAAACACCTAGCCCGAATCAATCACGCAAAGTACTTGAGGAAAACAATTATTCCAGTAACACGGCCCCAATGTGTATATCTATAGTGATTTGCTGTGGATCCCTCCCCAATATGTTTTTGGCAGGGTCCCGACTTGTTTCTGAGCACGACACGTCACGCCATTCAAAAGACGTGTGCTCTGGTGACCCTTTTTTGCACCCCAATTCAACCTGGCCCCCGGTCCGGTTTGCAAAGAGTTTGAGACTTGAACACTCACCCCGATATCCTCGGGCAATGTGCGCTTTGATTGTCATAGTTGCGGGATTGTGGGAGGCCATTTGCACTGACCTGGAACTGTTTGAGTCGGAAACCAAGAGAAGCCAGGTTGTTTTTTGCTTCCCCATGTTTGTGGATATGTGGGTATGGGTCAAATTAAACCACCAGGAATTGGACCGCAGGTTTTAGTCCTTGGTTCTATTTGCCAGGGCAAGCCATCTTGGGGTTGCCCTAACTTTGACCCACAGCCATGTGCGGGCGTTCGTGGGAAGGCCTCCAGTCTTGGAAAGTGCAATCGAGCCCGGCAGTATTCGCTTCAAATGCCTCTAACATGTTGCAGGAGAGTATCTTGTTCCTGTGGCGTGTCAAGAACCGAGGGCGTTCATTCCTTCCGCACCTACCGTTTTTTTTCAAAGAGTATCAGACTGGCCATGACTCTGAGCCAGAGTGATCCACTTCCATTGCAAGGGCGACATATTGCAAGGCAGCTCCAAGCAGCGCCTTGCACATTGGCAGTTTTGCAGTTTTGCCGTCCTCTGGATTTGCAGCCTGTGCCATCCTGCGAACAACCCTCGTCCCAAGACGCGACATTCCAAAACATCACCGGATGAGCCAACTGGATGAACCTACTGTCGGGGGCATCTCCATGAAGTGATATGCCAGGCAATCCTTTTGATTGCCAGATCCTTCGGCAAGTTCGACTTTGCAAACAAGGCAGGACTTGTTTACACCCGCATGCTCTGGGTGTGGACACGCTTGCCCAATGTACAGCCAGTTCCAGCGCTGGCAGCGTGATTGCATGGTTTTGAGTGAGCCGGCAAGCTGTGTTTGACCGGAGCCACTGATTGAAGTATACTGTACTCCACAAAGATGTTGGTCCAGCCAAATATATGGAAGCTGTGCGCAGATGGTTTTGGAGCTATCTGCCCAAAGGGCCAACTCACAAAGCGCAGCACTCAGCGCTTTGCTTGTGCTTTCGCATGGGGTTTGAGGGACACAACCGCATGAATTTGAGGGGGTGTCTGCTAGAGCTTGATCTTGCGCAGGCAGCTCTTTTGCGTCAGCACTCCAGTTAGTGATGGGCTCCGTTCAGATTTGTGCGCTTGTTTCCCCCTCATGAGACTGCACTTCAGACTGCATTGCATACAAAATGGCAGCTTGGTCTGCTGGTGCTCAGCAGGGGAATGAGGGAATGACCCTGGTAAACCATCCAACTGGCGGATTCCTTTAAGGGGACCAATGGGTCCACAGGCCCTACTGAGCACCCAGCAAGTTGGTTTCCTCCACCCTCAATGCCATTTACCTGTTCCACTTGTTTGAATTTGGTGCCAGCCCCAGCTCCATGGATTTCGCAACCACCCACAGATGGCTCTAGTGTGGAGCCGAGCTGCAATTCTTGAGGCATCAACGTCGACTTTCTGCGAAAGAAGGCCTTTGATGCGCTCGACCATCGTGGAATGCCACTGGGACGTGCGAAGTGCTCTGTAGCCAATCTGGTTGCCAAGCTCATGCCCCCAGGGGGGACTAGGGGCGGGAGGGGGGGATATCCCTGGAGAAGCAAGCCAAGTTGATAAGGCCTTGAGGCCTTGAGGACGTGATAAGAGTAGCCTCCCCTCACCATAGCTTCCCTCAGGGGTCCATGAAAAGCGGGATTGCTTCCTTGTAATGTAGCAGAGGGATCAACATTAAATGCTTTCTGCCCAATTCATATTCCCATCTTACAATTCGACGGGTTCCTGCTTGTCCACTCTTCTTGGCATCACATTTTCAGATGTTCTTGCACCACATGTTTTTATGCATCTGCACGCCTGTGTCCAAGGTCTTATGAACTTTTTTCAATGCTGGCTGGCAGCTCAGGCATGCAAGAAGTCAGCTATGGGATCTGGCAATTCACGAAACTAGCATCTGGGGTGCAGCCATGTGAATGCAAGTGCACCTCACTTAACAGCAGACCGCTTGTGGAGAGCAGCATTCTGACAACGGGCTGTGCGGCGTTTTGCATGTTTTTTGTAACTTGGGTATGGGCTGGGATGAAACCACCAGGAATTGGACCGCAGGTTTTTTGGTCCATGTTTCCTCCAGGGCAAGCCGCCGACTTTGCGAGGATGCCGATATAATGGTCGCCGTTGCTGGCAGAGCGAGAGAGAGAAGCTCTTTGGGGCCGAGGTCCAACGGGCTGGCACCAACATAGAGAGAATACACACCATTGCCACCCCGTGGGAGCCGCCAGGGACCCATTTGCGCCAAGTCGCACAGGCGAACGGATGTTGGGCATGTTGAGCATGCCATGGCCGCTCTTCGTTCATTGATTCATTCGTTGATCTCTTGATTGATTCACTGATTCATTCCTTGATTCATTCCTTCATTCACTCACTGATTCCTTCCTTCATTCATCCATCCATCCATCCATTCACTCACTCACTAATTCATTCATTCAGTCATTCAGTCATTCCTTCATTCATTCATTCATTCATTCATTCATTCATTCATTCATTCATTCATTCATTCATTCATTCATTCATTCATTCATTCATTCATTCATTCATTCATTCATTCATTCATTCATTCATTCATTCATTATACCTTATACCTTATACCTTATTACCTTTTACCTTTTACCTTATACCTTATACCTTATACCTTACATCACATTACCTTACCTTACCTTACCTTACATCACATTACATTACATTGCATTAGATGTCATTTCATTTCATTTCATTTCATTCGTTCGTTCGTTCGTTTGTTGGTTCGTTTGTTTGTTCGTTCGTTCATTCATTCATGCCATTTACAAACTCATGCCTTTATTCATGCTTTCAGGCATTGACAAATTCACACATTCAGGCATTCCCGCAATCATGCATTCACACATTTATGCATTCACGCATTCATGCATTCACGCACTCATGCATTCATGCATTCACGCACTCATGCATTCACGCATCACGCATTCACGCACTCACGCATGCATTCATTCTTTCGTTCGTTCGTTTGTTCCTTCGTCCATAGAGTTCATTCGTTTACTGGTTCATTCGTTCCTTCGTTCGCTCTTTCATTCTTGAACTCACTCTTTCCTTCCTGTAGTCAGCCAGCCAGCCAGCCGGTCGGCCGGCCAGCCAGCCAGCCAGCCAGCCAGCCAGCCAGCCAGTTTATCAGTCACACACGCTTAGCTATTTACCCTTTTTGATTGCGGTGCCATCGTTTGATTCATTTTGTCATTTGCTTTGAAGTCGGCTTTGTTGTTTGTGTTTGCACTCATGTGGCAGTGCACGCGTGCACTTCGCAGTGGATTGCCCAGAATCTTGCAGAACATGGGCTACATAGTTGGAATGTTGGAGAACGAGTGATTTCACCCGAATGAAAGGAAATGAGCTTCCAATCAGTTCAGGTGTGGCCAGGGTGTCCATCTTTTCGCTCGCTCGAAAAGGGCCAGATCAGACTCGACCCCGTTTTGCGTTTTTCCCGTGTGAGCGAAGGCCCGGCCAAGTCGATGGCCCCGCTTTGCTGGTGCTGGCCCCTGAATCCAAGGAGTGCCTTGGCTTCCTTCGATCTGATCGGCCGATTGGGCACGATGATGCAAAGACAAATTGGGCTCGTCATTTTTTTGTTGGTACCCCTTGTTTGGTGGTTTCAAAGGGAAGCCGAAAGGAGCACCTTTGCTTTTTGTTTTTTTTCGGCGGGGGTTCCCCGAATAAAGACAGACCCAGATTGTGACAAATTGTGACATGCAATATTTTCAGGCACTTTGCCAAGTTTTTGGACAGTCCTGGTTTGTTTCATCGCAGCCTGCTGCTAGATACAACTGATCGCTTTCACTGTCTGACATCCTCACAAATTCCCTCAAGATGCAAGAGCCATGCGGCATTCGTTGAAGCACCTGCCGTTTTCACCGTGGCTGGTGCCATTTGGGGGGTGCTTGACCAGGAAATAGATGACATGGCAAAGATGTTGATTGCTAAGCGAGGATTATTCACTGTAAAATCCCAGAAGTTGTTACAAGCACCACAGCTGCTCAAGTGCCGAGGTTTGCATCCGCCAAGGCAATCAATGACAAGTACTGTGCCCAAATGGAGGCGCAGCGTGCTTGTAGTAGAGGTTCTGGAAATCTAACTTGGATCCACATCTCAATTCAGTCCATTCTAGAGGCCTAGGCCCTTGGTATATTTGTACACACACAAAAATCATTCGCACATACCCTGGGATTCAAACCACTAAAATAAAGGGGGCTCATATTGTGTGCCTAAGAAGTTTCATCATCTCAATTGTGTCAACCATTCTTTTAATGGGGTTGAAGCCCAGGGTATATAAAAATATGGTATACACCGACAACTATTCAACTTGCAATCTGGAGAACCATAATGGGCGATTTGTGCAATGCGCGACTCGTGACTCGTGACTTCTGATTCATTGTGTTTTTGATTCTGGATTCGTGAATTTTGGAGACTGGGGGACTGTGGTAGTGCACTTTTTTGTGATTTTGGGGTTTGATATCTTGAGCAAGTTGTACGATTGCTTGTGCTGAAGAGTGTTTTTAACTGCGATTTCTGAATCACTCAAGGTCCTCTACTTTCTTCGTTTTTTGTAACATGCTGCTAATTGCTGCTGCTCATTCAAGCCAGAGTAGCTGCAATTATCTTAGCACATTTCTCTAATTCCTGTTTGGCATTAGAGTTGAATTTGAGTTCAAATAGATTCCAGTATGGAAAGACAAGTTTGTTGTTTCTGCTAATTTGCCTGCCCCTTAAAAGGAGTGAAACAACAATAGAACCGCAAGGAACATGCAATTTCAGTTCTAATGGTTTACAAGCTTTAATTTGTCACGCTTTAAGTTTAAATCATATTTCAATTAGAATTCAATGTAAAATATTGTTTTGAATTAGAATTAACATAGGAGTTCCTTTCCAAGTTTGATTTTAATTGGGATTTAAATAGAATACAATAAGTAGAAACAAGCTTGTTGTTTCTTCTAATTTGCAAGCCCCTCAGAAGGAGTGAAAAACCGGTGAAAACCCATGGAACATACACATTTTATTCCACTTGGTTTGCAAGTTTTAAATTGCAAGGCTTTAAGTTTAAACGGGATTTCGATTAGAATTCACTTCAAAGGTTCATTTGATTTAGACTTTAAATAGTACTTCCCTTCCAAGTAGGATTTCAAATAGACTTTAATTAGAACTCTTATTATACTTCAGATGTTAAATAGGAATTTCTACTTGCACATATGAATTCAATTAGACTTGAACTAGAATTCATATATTGAATTATAGTTTTAACATAAATTCCTTCCAAGTCTAAATAGGAACTCCTGTCCAAAACTTAGTTGGAATTTAAACATACTTTAACTAGAATCTAGTAAGGAAAAGAGAAGCTGATTGTTTGTTCTGAGTAATTCAATTACATGTTTTTGAATCATGCTTGAAATAGGAATTAAATTTTAAGTATGTAGGCTTTTGATTAGACTTTAATTGTATTTTTAATAGAATCTGGTAAGGATAGACAAGCTGTTTTTTCTTCTAGTTAGTTTAAATAGACTTCTTACACTTATTTGGATGTTTAAGAGGAATTAGTTAGACTTCTTATGGTGAAGTTGATTTGAAATAGGACTCATGACGTGAGAAATCGTGTGCGCTGCTCACGAGAGAAGTGTAACTGAATAAACCATACACAACAGCCAAGAACAGAGGAGGACCCATCATATACATAGAATACTCCAAAAAACACTCAAGAAAAACAAAAAACAAGAACAAATGACAAAACTCGAAGAAAACCAAGAAAAACAGACAACAACTCGAGAAGCCAAAAAAACAAGAAAACCTCGAGAAAACCAAAAAACTCGAGGAACACCAAAAAAACAAAAAACCTCGAGAAAACCAAAAAAAACAAAAACAACCTCGAGAAAACCAAAAAAACATGGTTTAGAAACTCTTTGTAACACAACCCATGTTGAAAGAGTTTCTAAACAATGTTTTTTTTGGTTTTCTCGAGTTTTTTTTGTTTTTTTGGTTTTCTCGAGGTTTTTTGTTGTTGTTTTTTTGGTTTTCCTCGAGTTTTTTTTGTTTTTCTTGTTTTCTCAAGATGTTTCCTCTGCACGTGTTAGATCAAGTGCAACTGACATTGCTGACCCATGAGAAGACTGCGAGCCTCAAAACGCGCAAAAAGCGCACTACCAGGGTCCCCTGTTCTGGAATTTTGAGTCGTGGTTGGTGACTTGAAGCATGAGCCCGAGGCGTGAGATTCGAGCATTGGTTTGGGTCATTACGAAAAGTGGCCACTGATTTAGCATCGTTTGATATAGTATCATGAAGAGTAATGCTTAGATAGATGGATGAATGCAGACAAGTGGATGAATGAAACAAAGCATGGAAGAATAGATACGACAAGACATAGGCAGGACACATTGATAGCAGAAAAGCATCGACCTGGAGCTTTCCAATTTGCACCTTTCAAGCGCCGACATGCGCCGACATCTTGTTTACGTCTGCCACATCACACCTGTTTATCAAAACAAGGCGCCACACTGCGCAGGCTTCCAAACACAAATCCAACAATACACAGCAGGCAGCAAACAGATGGCCGGCAACCCAGCACCACTACACAATGCGGACCCTTCAGCAGGCAGCACAACCCGTCTTGCGTAAGTATTCAAATCACAATATTCATCGCAGGTTCCCAATTGCACACGTGCTCAACATGGTAGTCAAAATAGTGCTTTGCAATTTGCACCTTGGCAGGCAATATGGCAAGCATGAAGTAAGCCCCTATGAGCGGAAACGCTGCCATGCTGCAAAAGCTATCAACCACTATAGGCCGGACACAGTTAAGGACCAGAAGCTGTCAACATGGCGTTTCAACTGGGCTTGTTGTATTCTTCTCCCTAAGGAGCGTCTCACACCCGAACACAGGAGCATGCGACACATTCACAGATTGGCCCCGAAGGGCGTGGGTGACCAGGCAGGCCACACACACAATGGCTGCTAGCACAGCCCATGAAGATACGCGCAGCCAAGCCTGGGTACACATGGAGCTGCTTCCATATTGGAAGCTGCGGGAAATTTGTTTGCCTGAGCGGCAGCCATATGAATCTTTGCTAAAAAGAACTGGCCACACCACGTTGCTTCTCATGTTTATGAGTACATGCGGTATGAGCATTTGAAGCCACTTCAAGTACTCATCGTTTCAACTGGGCTTGAACCCAAGGCAGAGACAATACTGTCCAGCCGAACCTTTCTTGGCAGCTGTTCAGCTGGCTTATTGGAACCAAATCCGTCCCCAGAACACACATGCAAGAATGCCTGCGCCCTTGTGTGCGTGCGCATGTGCACACGTGCGTGCTTGCGTTGAGGTAGACACTTTACACTGGTGCGTGCATGCGCTCACAAGTCTGGCAGGCTTGCAATAAAATTGAACAATGTTCCGTTTACTAAGCATTGACATGGGTCGCTGATCTGTCATCGCTTCTGCGCTAAGGGAATAGATTCTTGACCACTCACCTTGTGACGACGGGGTCTAGAAGGAATCCGCAGCGATAGCGATTGACATGCATCTGACATGGATATTTTGATGTTTGGATTCGACGTTTGAGACCTTCGCGGAAATGGCCCATGTTCAGGTTGCCTATGGCAAGGGCAGCCACTACAACATGCTTCAGGCCGGATCGATGGCAAGCCAAGAAACAGAATGCCGTGCGTCATCGAATCACAGCCTCATGCAACACTGCGCAACCCAGAAAAGATATTGCAGAAAAGACGCATTCAGTCACAAAGAACGTGGGGGTTGATCAGTATTCCGTTCGACCCAAAATGACCATGGGTAGCTTTTCCCATGTGGGGAAGGTCATTTTTCTTGGTGGTTTCCCCAATTCTCATGCTCATCGGACCTTTGGATCAATCCCCCAATGAAGGCACCTTCGCTCGAACCCAGGGAGATCATGCAGCGATAGCCGCACGAATTGTACATCAGTTCTGCGAGAGGCGGGTCTATCGTGTTTCAAGGGGCTTTGCTAGCGCTCGGGATCACACTTCTTGTCGTTTGTTGGTTTTGAGAGCAGTGTGGCACTGGAGTTGGTTGCTGCTTTCCAAATGCAAGTGCGACTGAATCCACACATTTGCATTCAAGCATCTTATGCACAGTATGGCCAAGTTTACGGAGCGGAGTTTCTTCGAATCCCGCGGATTCGGTCCAACATAGTTGCAGGTTTGTGAGCAGCGGCGCCCAAAGCCTGGTGCCTGCAGGCGCGTCAAGCTAAGGATCCCTTAGGCGGTACTTTTGTGGCACATGGCTTAGTTCCCATGGCCTGAATCCCTGCTCGCATGAGGGGAAGCCAAGATGTCTTGGAACAAGACACCTCAGAGGCCAAGAGGATGCCAGGAAGGAGTTGAGACAGCCAGCTGTTGTGATCGGATCCCAATGTCTTGTCAGCCAGGTCCGGGTACGGCAAGTACTGCAGAGAGTGGAGGCAAAAATCGCGACCGGCCGGCGGTGATCGCTTCCAACATGCCCAACAATACTTTGATGTTGGAGGGCAACCGGAGGCCTCTCCAGGGACAAATCAACTTCTGGCAATCTTCAAACGGCCGTGGGTCAAAACCGTTTTGGATCCCATTTTGGTTGGTAGGTGAATTTAGAACCAATTTTAGTGGGGGATTGGGATTTTCACTGGGGGTACGGGGTTTTGAGCCATAGCCATATCGTAATCAATTTCTTCAACCTTCAAATTCTAGCAATCCTCAAATTCTGGTGCCGGAGCGGGACACTTGGTATGTGCTTGGGGTACTACATGTTGCCAAGATCGTGGCCGGTTTCCAATGTCTTGGAAGATGGGTCGCGCTGCGCTTCACATCAAAATAATTAGGCTAAAACCAAACCGCATGCATAGTTAATCATAATTAAACATAATTAAGCATAATTAAGCTTCGTGCATGTGGCATAAGGACTTTCTGTTGAGTGGCGGTTGCAAGGAATCCGAGGTTTACCTGCTAGCTGCACATCGGATACCCAGAAAGAAAGTCACCAAGACGCATGGTTGCAGTGGTTTGGATTTTAAGAACCTGTGGCATTTCAAGTCGCTCGACTCCTCCGGCACATCTGAAGATCTCTCTGAAGATCTGGGAACTTGAAGTCAATTTCAGTGCTGGGGAACTTGAAGTCAATCAGTCTGCAAAGCAGACCTCACAACGTGAGTGCCAGAGCGGGACGCTTCACATCACAATGAAGTCAGACTTTCGTGTAGTATCCGCAGGCCGGGTGCCGGAGATTGTGCATGCAACGCCATTCCTGTTGCCCTGATTTCCGCATTTTTTGTTTTCCTGGCACAGGCTCATGCGATAGTAGACCTGATCATTGCAACTGCCAAAGACACATGTCGCATGTCAATTTGCTAGATGAAGCAACAAGCGCCTTTTCATGAAACGACTGGGAACAGCAACATTTGGGCTGACAGGGAAGGGTGGGGGGTAGGTTCCGAACGCAATCATGCCCCCACCCCACCCCAGGCCCGAGTCCGGGCAACCCCCGGTCTACCCAACATCTTGCTATTTGTGTTCTAAGAAGAAACCTCCAGTCCAGAGGACCTCGAATCGAGTTGAGGAAGCCTCCAATTGTTAGGAGGCTTTTGTGCATGTCTTGAGCCACATCAACTTGCTAGATTTCAACAAGTGAACCACAAGAGTGGGCGCTGACCATCGCTCGCGTGGGTCGACCCTTCAGGTCGATCGGATCAGCTCCTCGTGCTGAGGCGCGCCAAGTTGTCGTTTTTTTTTGAGGGAGAAATGTAATGACCCCGAGAAAAAATAAAAATAAAACATCCAACTGGTGGTTTCCTTTCTTTGGGAATCTGCAGGTTAGTTCCCTGCCTATTGCACCAGCAAATTGAATAACCCAGTCCCCCCCCCTAATTAAAAAGTCAGGCTTCACATTTCTCAGAGTCCCTACTGAAGCGGGTTTGGTGGATGGTTGGTCGGTCAGAACAGAACCGGCCTTGACAAGTGACACTCTGTACCTTGGAGCAGTGCAAACCACTCCAAAAGCCCGCCGCATCATACATCCCATTTGTTGGCGTCAAAGACTCGACAGGCAGGTGCCATGAATCAACCGCTACTTATTCCGTGCGTACTCGACAACAGTACTCTCTCAATCAATGACAAGCGAAGCAATACGGCAAGTGGGTCAAAACCAATGGTACTATTCTGGGGTAGGTGCACCACCCATTTTAGTCCATTTTGGTGGGGGATTGGGATCTCCACTGGGGGCACCATTGGTTTTGACCCACGGCCATATGGCCAGTGGCCGCTTTTAGTCTGCATGCACAGTTTTCCAGCCAGGCCGGGCAAGGCACGCGCTCCAACGATCTACCTGGTGCACGGCCTTCGACTGAGAGAAATGGCCATGGGTCAAAACCAATGGTACCCCCAGTGAACATCCCAATCCCCACCAAAATAAACTAAAATGGGTGGTGCACCTACCCCAAAATGGTACCATTGGTTTTGACCCATAGCCAAATCATCTCACAGGTGATACGCTCGGTTCACAGCGGAGACAGAGCTTGCTGGCGCGATAGGCTGGAAATGACTGGTCCGGGTGTTAGGAATGAACTGAAAGGGGATTCCCGAATAAAGGAACCACAGCGGATGGTGAAAACGGTCCCTCATTCCCTGCTGAGAAGCAGCAAAAAAAGAGGATAGCAAACGCATGGCGAGCTTTTTTTGAGCCCTGTGTTGTGTGGTTGCACTCCGCCTCATTGGCTGTCTCGCCAAGATTTCAGCACCTGCCGAAAGAATCGGGATGAGACCTCCCGCGTCTCGCATGCAGACGCTTGTGCCATTCCAAGGCTTGGACGGCGATGCGATGGGCGGCGGCGGAACCTTTAAAAGCATTGCAGGCGAATTGTCAAACTGCAGGCCGGCTGGTCATGCAACTGTTGGGATCAAGCAAAGCAACGGCACTTGTGCTGCCATGCTTGCTCTGCAGGTGTTCAGCTGAAAGCATGGTTTGTTTGCAATCGTGTACAGCTGCAGGGTGGGAGCGTTGGTCTACGATTCGCAAGACCGGGCGCTCAGAGTGAGCAAGTAGCGCTCACTTGAGATATTCTTGCGCAAACTGCTGCCTTCTCTGTCTAGCTGCCTGCCTCCCCGCCTGCTTGCCTGCCTGCCTGCCTGCCTGCCTGCCTGCCTGCCTGCGTGTCTGCCTGCCTGCCTGCCTGCCTGCCTGCCTGTCTGCCTGCCTGCCTGCCTGCCTGCCTGCTGCCTGCCTGCTTGCCTGCGTGTCTGCCTGCCTGCCTGCCTGCCTGCCTGTCTGCCTGTTTGCCTGTTTGCCTGTTTGCCTGCTTGGCTGCCTGCCTGCCTGCCTGCCCGCCGGCCTGCCTGCCGGCCTGCCTGCCTGCCTGCCTGCCTGCCTGTTTGCCTGCTTGGCTGCCTGCCTGCCTGCCCGCCGGCCTGTCTGCCTGCCTGCATGCCTCCTTGCCTGTGTGTCTGCCTGCCTGCCTGTCTGCCTGCCTGCTTGCCTGTCTGCCTGCCTGCCTGCCTGCCTGCTTGCCTGCCTGCCTGCCTGCCTGTTTGCCTGTTTGCCTGCTTGGCTGCCTGCCTGCCTGCCTGCCCGCCGGCCTGCCGGCCTGCCTTCCTGCCTGCTGTCTGTCTGCCTGCCTGCCTGTCTCTCTGCTGCCTGCCTGCCTGCCTGTCTGTTTGTCTGCCTGCCTGCCTGCCTGCCTGCCTGTCTGCCTGCCTGCCTGCCTGCCTGCCTGTCTGTCTGTCTGCCTGTCTGTATTCTTGCTCCGTACTTTGTGTTTTGCACCCAAGGCTTTGTCATGTAACTCCGTGCCGGAGTTGGCAGCTTGCTACAACAGACGCGCAGAGCGCCTAGCTGCGTCAGCTTCCTGATCCAGGGCGTGTGAAGGTTTTTTCAGGTAATCCTTAATTGGTGGTTTGGATTAGTTTGGATTTGAACCCCTCGTTGTTGTACAGGGTCAATGGGAAACCACCCCTAAACACCAAGCCACCAAGCCACCCAACCACGAAACCACCAAACCACCAGTCCAAACCACCAATCCAAACCACCAATCCAAACCACCAATTAGGGAATTTGAATCAAGTTTTGATTTTGGTCTTTCTGCGATGCGGGCACTTCGCGTGCCATTTCAGGTTTTAAGTGATGCAGAAGGGCATGGTCCAGTCACGGCCAAGCTCTAAGACTCAGACGCAGTCGAATGTACCTGGCTGTGGGTCAAAACCGTTTTGGATCCCATTTTGGTTGGTAGGTGCACCACCGATTTTAGAACCTATTTTAGTGGGGATTGGGTCACTGGGGCTACCATTTTGGGTTTTGATCCATGGCCACCTGTGCGTTTAACCATCGCCTCAAACCTTTGAAGCTTATGAACAGGTGCATGTTGCAGACTGGAGCGACTCAAGACTTTCAATCCGATGTCCGCAGAAGTTCAGCTTTCAACACTGTTCTTTATATAATTAATATGGGTATTTGTACATACGGACATTTAAACGCACATGAACAATTGATTTCATTTTTCCCGGCGTTGCAAAGACCGAATTATGAAAGTAGTGAACATGAGTTTGAGCTTATTGTAGGATTGTCTCGATGACTGAACAAGTTGGAACTTAGAATGTGTGTATAATAACAATACTAATAATAATAATAATAATAATAATAATAATAATAATAATAATAATAATAATAACAATAATAATAACAATAATAATAATAATACCAATAATAATAATGATAATGATAATAATAATGATAATGATAATGATAATGATAATGATAATACTGATAATGATACTGATAATAATAATGATGATAATAATAATAATAACAATAATAATAATAATTAATAATAATAATAATAGTAATAATACCAATAATAATAATAATAATGATAATAATGATAATAATGATAATGATAATGATAATGATAATGATACTGATAATAATAATGATAATACTAATAATAACAATAATAATAATAATAATAATAATAATAATAATAATAATAATAATAATAATAATAATAATAATAATAATAATAATAATAATAATAATAATAATATAATAATGTATATATATTATATATACACGTATATATGTGCACATGATTGTAAATATGATTTTGCAGAAGGATTTCAATTAAATCATCAGACCACGCCGGTTTCAAGATGGTAGATACATGTTTAGTCAACAAGGGCGAACATACTGGTTTGGTAGCACAACAACCTAAACACACAGTAAAGGCATATTGATTGCAATTAGGAAGCTTGGTACTTTAAGCAGTTCATTTAGTTGTGAAACCAGGGAACATAACAATAACATGTCGGACCTTCTGAACAGATACTAATTTCTGATGCCATAAATGAGGAGAGGCGATCAGAGAATAATATTGTACAATCACACCAGAGCAACTTGCTTGACTGACCGTTAATATGATGCTGCCATGTTTGACTGAGTATGATTTGTATAGGTTATACGAGTTAATTGACAAGGCTTCACCCTGCTAAAGCCGCAGATATTCTGATTTGTAGTTCATCGTGACAGCCATACGAGTGCAAGCTTCTGGGAAGCGCTGAGGCTGAGAACCCGATCGTGGTTGCCGGCTCGCGGCCCAGATATTAGTTCACCTCTGGTTGCGGTGGAGCAACCTGGTGGGTTAAAAATTAAACCACCAGGAATTGGACCGCAGGTATTAGTCCATGTTTCCCTTTATATACCAGGATTCCATTTTGGGAACCTTTTTGTTGACCCACAGCCACACGTGTGGCTTTCCGCTCCTCTGACTCGCCGACATGGGCCATGGGCTGAGTCGCGCAGGCTACTCCTGGGGCTGTGTCCTGGCGCATCAAATGGGCCATCAGCTTCGGAAGGCCAACCTTTGCGGTCAAGTGAGCGAGACCTCATGTTCTGTTGGGTGGTGTGCCCTCCAGTTTCTTTTCAGGCCGGCGTCCACGTCGTTGTGGTGATGTTTGACTTGGAGGCACCTTTGAATTTAGGCAATCGTAGGGCAGGCACACAGCAAGCGCCTTGCAGGTAACTTGGCCACCCCCGGCTACAAACTCGCGGGTTGGCGGATATGATTTCCTTGGTGGCGAGACTGAGGTGCGCATTTGAGGAAAATCAAAGATACTGTGCAATTCGAGAGATGTTTGATGTGATGACTCTTTCGCGTGTCTTGCGTGTCGTTCCGCTATCAACCGGCAGGCCATCCTGCTGCTTTGCAGAGCATTTGGCAAGTTCGAGTTTGCCGTCAAAGTGCCACGCTTGGGATATGCACGTTTGCCACTTGCGTGCTGGTCCCGAACCAGGTTTGTTGCCGCTAAGGAAGCGGTTGAGCTGACAGCCTTGCAGGCAAAGGGTGGCAGTCGCTTGTACTGCAAACAGTACGCGTGGGTTGTAACATGGTGAAGAATCAACATGCGTTGTGACGAGCAACCAGGACAGGCACTGTGATAGTCACTATGACAGTCACTATGACAGTGGCTATGACAGTCACTAGTCACTATGACAGTCACTATGAAAGTCACTACAACAGTCGTTATGACAGTCACAATGACACTACAACAGGCGCTACGACAGTCATTATGACAGTCGCTATGACAGTCATTATGACAGTCACTATGACAATCAGTATGACAGTCACTATGACAGTCACTCTGACAGTCACTAGAACAGTCGCTATGACAGTCACTATGACAGTCACTACAACAGTCGCTATGACAGTCATTACAACAGTCGCTACGACAGTCACTATGACAGTCACTACAACAGTCGCTATGACAGTCACTATTACAGTCACTATTACAGTCACGTCACTATGACAGTCACGTCACTATGACAGTTGCTATGAAAGTCACTATGACAGTCGCTATGACAGTCACTATGACAGTCACTGCGACAGTCACTATGACAGTCACTACAACAGTCGCTTTGACAGTGACTATGCCAGTCACTGTGACAGTCACTATGACAGTCGCTTTGACAGTCACTATGACAGTCACTCTGACCGTCACTACAACAGTTGCTATGACAGTCACTATGACAGTCACTACAACAGTCACTATGACAGTCGCTATGTCAGTCACTACAACAGTCAGTACGACAGTCCATGACAGTGACTATGACAGTCACTATGACAGGCACTATGACAGTCGCTATGACAGTCACTATGACAGTCACTATGAGCGTCACTATGACAGTCACTATGACAGTCACTATGACAGTCACTCTGACAGTCACTACAACAGTCGCTATGACAGTCACTACAACAGTCGCTATGACAGTCGCTATGACAGTCACTATGACAGTCGCTATGACAGTCATTATGACAGTCGCTATGACAGTTACTATGAGAGTCGCTGTGATAGTCACTATGACAGTCACTATGACAGTTGCTTTGACAGTCACTATGACAGTCACTATGACAGTCGCTACGACAGTCACTAAGACAGTCGCTATGACAGTGATTATGACAGTCAGTATGACAGTCAGTATGACAGTCACTATGACAGTCACTCTGACAGTCACTACAACAATCGCTATGACAGTCACTATGACAGTCACTACAACAGTCGCTATGACAGTCACTATGACAGTCGCTACGACAATCACTATGACAGTCGCTGTAACAGTTCCTATGAGAGTCACTGTGACAGTCACTATGACACGTGACAGTCACTATGACAGTCGCTTCGACAGTCACTACGACACTCACTATGACAGTCGCTATGACAGTCGCTATGACAGTCGCTATGACAGTCATTTTGACACTCAGTATGACAGTCAGTATGACAGTGACTATGCCAGCATGTCCTTTCCGTGTCAGTATTTTGATTTGCTTTCAAGAGAGACTCGAGAGACTAGAAGGCGTGCTCGGAGTCGGGGCAACCTGAGGCATCGATGTTGATGCCTTGAAGAACAGAGCCTACGCGGCTCTGAACCAGCGCGGATTGCCCTTTGGCTGCACAGACCAACATGTGTTTGCTACAAAGAGCAATCAGACCAAAGGGATTGCCACCAGCCGGGTCTTCGCAGTTCAACATTTTTTTGTTGCGCAGAATCCATGTCGCAGAGCTCGTCAGAACGGCTGAAGGTCCTTCGACTTATTCTCCAGCCTGGCCAGTTTCTGAGAGGGGGCGCTGGGCCGCCAGCGAAGCCCTGGCTCGCTCCCTTGAGGTGAAGCGTGGAGGTGCCAACATCCAGCAGATCCACACCATCTCGACTCCCTGGCAGCCGCCATAGCCCTGGACCCTGTCACTTCCCAAACATCGTCCCAAACGCAGAATTTCTCGACCCAATCAAGAAGGCGTTTCAAGTGGGAGGAGAAACAACCAAGAAGGTGTTCCAATGGGAGGAGGAAATCCACCGGGGACTCTTAGCAATGTAAAGACGCACCCCTGGATTTCTAGAACTTTGAACACCGACAAGCATGCGGCTTAGCCCCCTTGACAGCAACCCTTTGGCCACCCGAATGCCATGCAGTAGATAGTAGAGGCGCGTCCTACTCGTAGTCCACGTGAACGAAAAAGACTACGGGACGACTGTGCCAAGAGTGCCAGAATGTCAGAGCAGACTGCGGAGAGAACACTATGCTAAGTTAAAATGTGCTACAGTTGAAGCCGTTGCAATCCGATGAGGAGAAATACAATGACAGTCATTCAGGTTACAGCACTTTGCCCCGCTTTGCCTCCCAATCCAACAGTCAACACGTGTGACCGTATCCTGCTGCCTTGGGGACCATTTCCAGGCCAGAGAAGTACGAGGGGCCTGCCCTGCTGGTGCTGGCACCAGACTCCGCTGAGTGCAGAGCTCAGAGAAGATGCAGAGCATATGGTATACAGGCGTTGTGTGTTCGGACAGGTGGATTTGTTGGAACAAGCGGAGCCTGCTGGATGTTGTCCCAATCAGCTTGGATGCAGCTTCAGATTTTGCTGGTGCAAATCCAAGGTTTGCGAGCGCGCAGGAGATCAATGCCCAGTATTGTACAAAGATGGAGGCAAAGGGTATAGCATTCCGTGCCACTGCACCTACTCGGGCCTGCGAGAGGTGGTTCACGGCAAAGGGAGCCACTACAACATGATGCAGGCGTGGATCTTTAGAGTACTTGGCCACCGTGTCCCACCAGCTTTCCAATCTTTGTAGAGATGTCGTAGCCTTGAAATGGTGAGCAGGTGACCATGAGTCACACACGACTTGAGTAGTTGCATTGGCCTTTTAGCTTCCTGCCTGGCTTTCTTGCTTGTACTTGCTCCCTGACCATGCCTAGCATCTGCAAGGCTGAGCAAGCTGTGGTGCAAGCTCGGCTCGTGCTGGAGTTCCTGAAAAGGCAGGGCACGAGCACAAGCGCGGCAACACGCGTCGGCCAGTGGAGTTTTGGAAGTTCGGAATACAAGCCTAGGCGCTTCTGGCCGTCTTGACTCAAGTCGTTTGGCTCAAATGGTCCATCGCCTGAGGCGGCCGGTCTGGCTTTTTGCCTCAGGCAGCTTGGAATGGTAGATAATACGTTTGCAATTCAAGATGGGGAACTGTACTATTCATGCGCCATCTGCAGCTCCGTGATGCTGATATTTGACTCCACCCGTCACAGGTGTACCTACCGGAAACTGAAGAACAACAAGGTGAATGGCGCGAAGAGCAACGCAGTGCAAGCAGAGCAGCAAGCCTTTCTTAAGGATTGTGCTAGGCAAAATGGTTGGCGCCATTTGCGGGTGGTCCTGAAGGACGTGGATGCAGGGTCGAGGTGAAGCGGTGACCCGGTTGTCATTCGTGTTTCGTCTGGGACAGAGTGCCACAGCTACTTCACATTTGAAAATGTCGAGTTCCGGATTGACGGTGAGGTGCCTTGGCATTCCGGCTGGGTGGCACCACAAGACACGGCTCGCGTTCTCGCGCAGCAGAACGAGGCATTTTTCGCTGCGAAGTTGAAGGAACAACGCGACGCACAAGTTTAGGAACGAGCCCAGCTTGCCAAAGAAAAGTCCGGAACAAACCAGGCACGCGAGGCCACCGAGCAGCTTGCAATGCAGAAGGCTGAGCATGAGGTGCGAATGGCGATTCAACTGCATCAGATACTCCCGGAGGAACGAAAGCTAAAGCGTAAATCGGCGCGTTGGCGGAAGTTTGCAGTTCACTAGCCGAGCGGCAAGCGGCCCATGCGCGGGATAGAGAGCAGCTGTCTGCTCAGTTGAAGGAAGCTGAGCAAGACAGGGCAGCACAGTGCCTGATTTGCCAGAGCCGGAAAGCCACAAGGGCGCTTCCGCAGTGTGGTCATATTCCGTTTTGCGAGCCCTGCTTCGAAGAAGCTCAGCGTTTGGGGCAGCATGACCGCTGCCCGCTATGCCGCAGCACTGCGGCCTTTTCTTTCAAAGTTAGGATCTGATAAAGTTCGGGATGCACCATGGTCAATTGGCCAAAAAACAAAACAAGCTTAGGCGCTTCTGGCAGTCTCGGCATGCCTTGCAGCAATTGCTAGCACTCTGCACCAGTTTGGCAGCCAATCGGCCCTACTTAGAGCAGCGTTTTTTAATCAAATGAAAGAGTTTATACAAAAAGGGAACTGCATGTACTTTGCGGAAGCAATCCTGGTTGGGGGCGTAGGCTCGCGTAGGCTTCAGCGCGTAGGCTGTTGTGTCACCCCTCGCATAGGCTTTTCGCGTAGGCGTTTGTTGAACAAATCATGACTGTTTGCCACGTAAGAAGGAATTTGCTTCTTTTGCCTTCCTTCTGTTTGTTCTGCAGTCTTCGCGTAGGCTCCGCGTAGGCACCGCGTAGGCATTCGCGTAGGCTTTCAAGGCATTTTGGGTGCGTAGACCTTTTCTAGCAGCCAGATCCTTGAACAGATGTGGGATTCTCACTTATACTGCATTTCTGATCTTAGGGCCGGAGCTGCCACAACTGCACTTGTGCTGAAAGTTGCGATTTTCCAGCTGGAGCTGCCACAGTGCACTTCGAGACTTGAACTCAACGTTTGCCCGCGCAGGCATCCGCGTAGGCACCTGGAAGCTGACTTGTGCTCGCGTAGGCACCCCTCGCAGGCCGCGTAGGCTTGCGTAGGCCTTCGCGTAGGCGTGCAAGTAGTGTATAGGCTCCGAACCACGAAAAAAACACTGCTCGGCTTGATCTGGTGGCATGAGATTCTGCTTGCAGATCCATAGAGCATTGTTCGACCATGGGCAAAGCACTGGGTACAAGAGAAAGAGAGATCTAGTTAGGTTATGTCATCGTATCGTGACCTTATGAAGCAATGCTCGCCACGGTTTGCTTGTTCCACGACTGCGTGTGAGGCTTGGCTGTCCTGTGGAGATGACGATCTCAGGCAGGGAGAGCTGCAGATGGGATATCTGCTGGCTGGACACGGGGTGTCGTCCTGGTTAGACCGTTGATGACCTTTCGCGAAACCAATCGGATCATGGAGGTTGCCGCTTGCAGTTGGCTCGGGATTTCGTCAAAAGCAAAGGGCCTCCTCTTTCTCTCCTGTAATTGTAGTGCAGGGATCGAACGAACGTATGCTCTCACGCGGCTTGGCAAACAGATTTCGCCTGCCAGTCCGGACGGATCAACTGCTGCTCCTGAGGCGCCTGTGCCGTTTGTCCGCTGGGGTCGAGATGACAAAGCCCAACTCTTGAGCCATAAATGTGGCAGCAGCGTCTGACGCCCAGCGCACGGGCAGGCCGGGCAAGCCGCAAGCTCCCAAGATCTACATGGTGCACGGCGGTGAGCTGAGAGAGACATCTAACTTCAAGAGTTACGCACGTGGTTCAAGCGCACGAGACGCGGCGTCCCAGTAGCAAGCTCTCAGGGAAAGCAGAGAGTGGTTGATACTGTTGTGTTCTCCACATTGAGCGTCTGCAAGGAATTCGGATGAGTCCGCCCGTGTGTCTGAGCATGCATGCCTTGTGCGGGCCTTGCCTCACCAAGGTTTGGACGGCGACGCCATGGGCGGCGGCGGCACCTTCAAAAGCATCGCGGCGGAATTGTCGAACTGCAGGCAGGCATGTTGCGGATTCCACTTCTGGCGCCCGGCGTGAATAATGTTAACCCCGGATTAATCAACCCCTGGTTGATTAATAGGGGGGTGTCCCCTTTTAGTGGGGATTCATCACTTTTGGAGGGAACACCCCCCTAATAGTGGGACGGGTTTATTAATCCTAGGTCAACATTACGTGACCCTTTCGGAACCCTTCCCAGCCAAGCACAGCTGCACAGCTGCAGGGTGGGCGCTCTAGTCTACGACTCCGAAGACGGGAGGCTCAGAGTCATCTTAGAAGGAGCTGTGTGAGGGTCAGAGCCATTCAGTCTGACTGGCTTCTGTGTCGGCTTTGTTTCTTGATTGTTTTCTGTGCCTTGGGTAGAGTCGGGTTGTTTGCGCAGAAAGTTACCGTAACACGATCACAGCACAGTGTTTCAGTGAATTAAATTACTTTGTCTCGCACTGTTCCTGGTGTCCGGACGGGATTGAATGGCAACCAGAATGCGTGGGTGCACATGTTTCTGATCCTCGAGGCCTTAGCATGCAACTCTCTGCCGGAGCTTGCGGTTTGCTACAACCAGCGTGCATAGGCCTCAGCTTACGATTGCTTATTCAGTCCAGGAATGGTTGGCACATAGCATGAACATCGGCACATCCATGTTGTGGGCGGCCAATCATTGGCGATGACGCATGTCAAAGCATGCCCTGATGCTTTGAACTGCAATGCAATCTCGGGCTTCGTGAGGTTCGTGCAGATGCAGAATCCCACGGCCCTGTCACGGCAAGAAGCTCAGACTGCGCAGGCAGATGTTTACGGGCTTGAACTGAACTATCGACCGCGCACTTCACCGCGGCGTCAGTTTTGGCTGGCACATTTCGAATATGTGCAAATACCGCGACTGCCGCAGTAAGAATTCACTAGCCAGAGGTTTGCTTGCCTGAGGCATGAGATTGCCAAAGCCTTTAGGGAGAATAATCGTCAATGAAAACTGAGGAAAGGACGGGTCTTGGATTGCCACGCACTTGCTCTCAGGCTGAGAACCCGATCGTGGTTGCCGGCAAGCGGCTCAGATATTAGTGCATTTGTGGTGACTCTGAGCAGCTGACATGGGCCATTTTGGGATGAGTCGCTGTGCAGGCTACTCCTGGGGCTGTGTGCTGGCGCATCAAATGGGCCACCAGCTTCGGAAGGCAAAGGTTTGTGTTCAAGTGAGCGAGACCTCATGTTCGGTCCTTTCAGGCCGGCGTCCACGTCGTTGTGGTGATGTTTGACCTGGAGGCGCCTTCAGGGACCAGCGTTTGATTTGTGACGGTTCAAATCGCCTGGGCAAGCTATATCCGACCGATGAAGCGAGGGCAAATGTGCCACATCAATTGTAGCGTGCTTACCATTCTTGGAATTTCGGCAATCAACACCATGCTTACCATGCTTGGAATTTAGGGCAAGATCACAGCAAGCGCCTTGCAGGTAACTTGGCCACCCCCGGCTACAAACTCGCGGGTTGGCGGGTATGATTTCCTTGGCGGCGAGACTGAGGCGCGCATTTGAGGCAAAGCACGGAGAGGTTCCGCATATGAACAATGTGCATTTCGAGAGAGGTTTGACGTGATGACTCTTTCCGTGTTTGCATGTCATTCCGCTACGCTTGTGGCCACCATCGATCGGCAGGCCATCCTGCTGATTTGCAGAGCATTTGGAAAGTTCGAGTTTGCCGTCCAAGTGCCTCGCTTGAGATCCGCACTTTTGCCACTTGCGTGCTCGGGGAAGCTTCGTTGCCTCTAAGGAGGCTGTTGAGCTGACAGAATTGAAAGCCAAAGGCGGCAGTGGCTTGTACTGCATTTAGCAAGCGTGGGTGGCATGGTATGTTTTGCAATGCGTTCAGACAGTCACTATGACATTTCCTTGTGCATTGATTTTGGGTTTGTGGCGACATGTCTGATTTGTCTGAGCCGCATGTTTTTTTCCTTTATTTTTTTGTTTGAATGTGTGAGCATTTGTGTCGTCTTTTGACTGCACAGCAGCTTGCAGTCATTTGAGGCATCGATGTTGATGCCTTGAAGGATAGAGCCTATGCGGCTTTGAACCAGCGCGGATTGCGCTTTGGCTGAAAGGCGGTTCATACTGTCCGATATTCATGTGACACATAGAAACCGATCAGAACGGCATCCAGCCTTCATTATTTGCCGCAGCTGTTGCTCTGTTTTGGCGCCAACTAGAGGTCCTTCGAGTTATTCTCCACCATTGCCAGCTCCCCAGAACCGAGCAACCTGCGCGATCGTGCACTGCCCTGCCCCCCGACTTTGTTTGCCCCTTCTTCTCAAGGTCAAGCGTGGAGGTGCCAACATCCAGCAGATCCACACCATCTCGACTCCCTGGCAGCCGCCGTAGCCCTGGACCCCGTCATCCCTGGCTCCCTGGCCCATCACCCCAAAAGCAGCACAGAATTCCCTGGCCAAAACGTGTTTCCCATGTCTCCTTCGGGCTTTCCAGGCCGGAGAAGTACGAGGGGCCTGCCCTGCTGGTGCTGGCACCAGACTCCGCTGAGTGCAGAGCTCAGAGAAGATGCAGAGCATACAGCACAAGCGTTGTGTGTTTGGATACTTGAGTATGTTGGAACAAGCGGAGGCTGCTGGCATATAGATTTGTTGTGCCGGCTCAATTCCCAGGTTTGCGAGCGCCGAGGAGATCAATGCCCAGTATTGTACAAAGATGGAGGCAAAGGGTACAGCATTCCGTGCTGTGTACCTATGCGGGCCTGCGACAGGTGGTTCACGGCAAAGGGAGCCACTACAACATGATGCAGGCCTGGATCTTTAGAGTACTTGGCCACCGTGTCCCACCAGCTTCCCAATATTTGCAGAAATATCATAGCCTGCAAATGGTGAGCAGGTGGTGCCATGAGTCACAGACGTCTTGAGCACTTGCATTGGCCTTTTGGCTCCCTGCCTGGCTTTCTTGCTTGCACTTGCTCCCTGACCGTGCCTTGGACGGTGTACTGTGCTCTAGCATCTGCAAGGCTGAGCAAGCTGTGGTGCAAGCTCGGCTCGTGCTAGAGTTCTTGAAAAGGCAGGGCGAGCACAAGCGCGGCAACACGCGTCGGCCAGTGGAGTTTTGGATGTCTGGCATACAAGCCTAGGCGTTTCTGGCCGTCTTGACTCAAGTCGTTTGGCTCAAATGGTCCATCGCCTGAGGTGGCCGGTCCGGCTGTTTGCCTCAGGCAGCTTGGAATGGTAGATAATACGTTTGCAATTCGAGATGGGGAACTGTACTATTCATGCGCCATCTGCAGCTCCGTGATGCTGATATTTGACTCCACCCCTCACAGGTGTACCTACCGAAAACTGAAGAACAACAAGGTGAATGGCGCGAAGAAGAGCAACGCAGTGCAAGCAGAGCGGCAAGCCTTTCTTAAGGATTGTGCTAGGCAAAATGGTTGGCGCCATTTCCGGGTGGTCCTGAAGGACGCGGATGCAAGGTCGAGGTCAAGCGGTGGCCCGGTTGTCATTCGTGTTTCGTCTCGGACAGAGTGCCACAGCTACTTCACATTTGAAAATGTCGAGTTCCGGATTGACGGTGAGGTGCCTTGGCATTCCGGCTGGGTGGCACCACAAGACACGGCTCGCGTTCTCGCGCAGCAGAACGAGGCATTTTTCGCTGCGAAGTTGAAGGAGGAACGCGACGCACACGTTCAGGAACGAGCCCAGCTTGCCAAAGAAAAGGCCGCAGCAAGTCAGGCACGTGAGGCCACCGAGCAGCTTGCAATGCAGAAAGCTGAGCATGAGGTGCGAATGGCAATGCAACTGCATCAGATACTCCTGGAGAAACGAAAGCTAAAGCGTAAAGCGGCAACGCTGGCGGAAGTTTGCAGTTCACTAGCCCAGCGGCAAGCGGCCCATGCGCGGGATAGAGAGGAGCTTTCTGCTCAGTTGAAGGAAGCTGAGCAAGACAAGGCAGCACAGTGCCTGATTTGCCAGAGCCGGAAAGCCACAAGGGCGCTTCCGCAGTGTGGTCATATTCCGTTTTGCGAGCCCTGCTTCGAAGAAGCTCAGCGTTTGGGGCAGCATGACCGCTGCCCGCTATGCCGCAGCACTGCGGCCTTTTCTTTCAAAGTTAGGACCTGATAAAGTTCGGGATGCACCATGGTCAATTGGCCAAAAAACCAAGCAAGCCTAGGCGCTTCTGGCTGTCTCGGTATGCCTTGCAGCAAACGCTAGCACTGTGCACCAGTTTGGCAGCCAATCAGCCGTACTTGATCTGGTTGCAAGCGTTTGAGATTCTGCTTGCAGAGCCATATAGAGCATAGTTCGAGCATGGGCAAAGCACAGGGTGCAAGAGAAAGGAGATCTAGTTAGGGTATGTATATAATCGTGACCTTGTGAAGCAATGCTGGCCGCGGTTTGCTTGTTCCATGACTGCGCGCAAGGCTTGGCTGTCCTGTGGAGATGACGATCTCAGGCAGGGAGAGCTGTATGGACACTTGATGTCGTCCCAGTTAGACCGTTGATAGCCTTTCTCGAAATCTAACATTGGATCACGGAGGTTGCGGCTTGCGGTCACGTGGATCGCATCGAGATTTCGTCAAAAGCAAAGGGCCTCCCCTTTCCTTCCTCTAATTGTGCTTCATGCGAACAAACGTATCGGACAATCTCAAACGTCTGCTCTCACGCGGCTTGGCAAACAGATTTCGCCTGCCAGTCCGGACGGATCAGCTGCTGCTCCTGAGGCGCCTGTCCCGTTTTTCGTCGGGAGGGGCGAGCCATGGACGTGGCAGGCCGGGCAAGCCGCAAGTTCCCAAGATCTACATGGTGCACGGCGGTGAGCTGAGAGAGACATCTAACTTCAATGACACGAGACGCGACGTCCCAGTAGCAAGCTCTCAGGAAGCGATGTGGAGAGTGGTTGTTACTATTGCGTTCTCCACGTTGAGCCGTTTGCAAAGGAAATCCGGGTGAGTCCGCTCGTTTGTTTGAGCATGTATGCCTTGTGCGGGGCTTGCCTCACCAAGGCTTGGACGGCGATGCCATGGGCGGCGGCGGCACCTTCAAAAGCATCGCGGCGGAATTGTCGAACTGCAGGCGTGCATGTTGCGGATTCCACTTCTGGTGCCCGGCGTGAATACGTGACCCTCCCGGAACCCTTCCCAGCCAAGCACAGCTGCACAGCTGCAGGGTGGGCGCTCTAGTCTACGACTCCGAAGACGGGAGGCTCAGAGGCATCTTAGAAGGAGCGGTGTCAGCGTCAGAGCCATTCAGTCAGACTGGCATCTGTGTCGGCTTTGTTTCTTGTGCCTTGGCACAGTGTTTCAGTGAATTACTTTGTCTCGCACGGTTCCTGGTGTCCGGATGGGCTTGAATGGCTGGGTGCACATGTTTCTGATCCTCGAGGCCTTAGCATGCAACTCTCTGCCGGAGCTTGCGGTTTGCTACAACCAGCGTGCATAGGCCTCAGCTTACGATTGCTTATTCAGTCCAGGAATGGTTGGCACATAGCATGAACATCGGCACATCCATGTTGTGGGCGGCCAATCATTGGCGATGACGCATATCACAGCATGCCCTGATGCTTTGAACTGCAATGCAATCTCGGGCTTCGTGAGGTTCGTGCAGATGCAGAATCCCACGGCCCTGTCACGGCAAGAAGCTCAGACTGCGCAGGCAGATGTTTACGGGCTTGAACTGAACTATCGACCGCGCACTTCACCGCGGCGTCAGTTTTGGCTGGCACATTTCGAATATGTGCAAATACTGTGACCGCCGCAGCAAGAATGCATTAGCCAGAGGTTTGCTTGCCTGAGGCATGAGGTTGCCAAAGCCTTTAGGGAGAATAATCGTCAATGAAAGCTGAGGAAAGGACGGGTCTTGGATTGCCACGCACTTGCTCTCAGGCTGAGAACCCGATCGTGGTTGCCGGCAAGCGGCTCAGATATTAGTGCATTTGTGGTGACTCTGAGCAGCTGACATGCGCCAATTTGGGATGAGTCGCTGTGCAGGCTACTCCTGGGGCTGTGTTCTGGCGCATCAAATGGGCCACCAGCTCCGGAAGGCAAATGTTTGTGTTCAAGTGAGCGAGACCTCATGTTCGGTCCTTTCAGGCCGGTGTCCACGTCGTTGTGGTGATGTTTGACCTGGAGGCGCCTTCAGGGACCAGCGTTGGGTTTGTCACCGTCCAAATCGCCTGGGCAAGCTATATCCGACCGATGAAGCTAGGGCAAATGTGCCGCATCAATTGTAGCGTGCTAACCATTGATGGGATTTAGGCAATCTCAACCATGCTTACCATGCTTGGAATGTAGGCACTCCTGGGGCAAAACCACGGCAAGCGCCTTGCAGGTAACTTGGCCACCCCCAGCTACAAACTCGCGGGTTGGCGGATATGATTTCCTTGGAGGCGAGACTGAGGCGCGCATTTGAGGCAAAGCACGGAGCGGTTCCGCTTGAGAATGCTGTGCAATTTGCGAGATGTTTCACGTGATGACTCTTTCCGTGTTTGCATGTCATTCCGCCAAGCTTGTGGCCACCATCATCGGCAGGCCATCCTACTGATTTGCAGAGCATTTGGCAAGTTCGAGTTTGCCGTCCAAGTGCCCCGCTTGAGATATGCACTTTTGCCACTTGCGTGCTCGGGAAGCTTTGTTCACTCCAAGGAGGCAGTTGAGCTGACAGAATTGAAAGCCAAAGGCGGCAGTGGCTTGTACTGCATAGAGCGTGTGTGGGTGGCATGGTATGGGTTGCAATGCGTTCAGGCGGTCACTATGACATTTCCTTGTGCATTGTTTTTGGGTTTGTGGTGACATGCCTGATTTGTCTGAGTCGCATGCGTTTTATCGTGTCAGCATTCATGCTACCATTTTATTTGCACGGCGCAGTCATCTGAGGCATCGATGTTGATGCTTTGAAGGATAGAGCCTATGCGGCTCTGAACCAGCGCGGGTTGCGCTCTGGTTGCAAGGGATCATACTGTTCAATCTTCATGTGACACGTAG